CCTTTTCCTTCCACCCTTTCTCTCTCGCTCCTTTCCCTTCCACCCTTTCTCTCTCGCTCCTTCCCCTTCCACCTTTCTTCTCGCTCCTCCCTTCACCCTTTCTCTCTCACCCCTTTCCCTTCCTCCCTTTCTCCTCCGTCTCTCTCGCCCCGTCTTCTTCCTCTCCGCCCCTTCCCTCTTCCTCTTCCTCTTCCTCTCGCGCCCATTACATCACACGCTATTCAAGGAGCCGCTCGAGTCCTCTTATCTCCTCTTCAGTCCTCTTATTCCGTCTTATCTCCAATTCCTGTTTACTCAGCAGTTCTTGCGCAACAGGAATACAATTGAACCTCTAATAAAACGGAGAGGTGGAGAAAGAAGGACTGAGAGGGAGAGAGGGGGAGAGAGGGGAAAAAAGAGAGCGGGAAGGAAGGAGAGAGAGGGAGAGAGGGAGAGAAGGAGAGTGTGGAGAGAGAAGGACAGAGAGAGGGGGGAGGGAAGAGAACGAGAGAGGGGGAAAAAGAGAGTGGGAAGGAAGGAGAGAGAGGGAGAGTGTGAGAGAGGGGGAAGGGAGAGGGGGAGAGAGGGGGGAAAAGAGTGGTAGAGAGGCGGAAAAAAAGATTAGAAAAGGGGGAGAGAGAGAGAGGGAGAAAGGGAAAGGGAGAGTGGGAAAAAGGAGACTGGGAAGGAAGGAAGGAGGTAAGGGAGGGAAGGAAAAACAGAATTTAAACAAAGAATAACCGCCCTTCAGCCAAGAATCCGCAGTGCCCCCCCCCCTCCCCCCCCTCCACCTCACCCCCTGCAAACACCTTAAAAAACGCCCCTTTTGCAACACTCTCCTACGGGATGCAGCGCCTATCCCAACTTCGCCCATTAATGAGAGCGTCAACAGTAATTTCGGCAGGAGATAAGACCTCTTGGCCCCTCTCCCTCTCTCTCTTTCTTTTCTTTCTTTCTCTCTTTCTCTCTCTCTCTCTCTCCTCTCCTCTCTCTCTCTCTCTCTCTCTCTCTCTCTCTCTCTCCTCTATTCCCTTCTCCCTCCACCCACCATAATCCCTTTTCTTCTCATTCTCTTTCCCAACACCTCATTTCCGCTCCCCAACTCCTTCCCCCCCCCCTTCACCCACCTCCTCCCCTCCCTCCTTCTCCGTGCCCCTTCCTCTCTCCCCTTTCCCCACTTCCCTCTCCCCCACTCCCCTCCCCCCTCCCCTTTACCCCACTTCCCTCTCCGCCTCCCCCTCCCCCTTTACCCACCTTCCCTCTCCCTCTTTCCCCACTTCCTTCCCTCCCCCACTTCCTCTCCTCCTCCCCCCCACTCCCCCCCCCCTTCCAATGCACTCGCGAACAGCAACATCAGCGCGACATAAGACCTATCTTTGTGCGGCTGTCGGGTCTCGTCCTCCCGTGATCATCAGCTGTTGGGTCTCCTCCGGTTCTGAGGGCTTTTGAATTCGGGGAAACTTCGGTGTGTTTGCTTATTCTCTCTCTCTCTCTCTCTCTCTCTCTCTTTCTCTCTCTTCTCTCTCTCTCTCTCTCTCTCTCTCTCTCTCTCTCTCTCTCTCTCTTTCTTTTTCTCTTTCGTTTTTTCTTTTTTTCTTTTTCTTTGCCTTTTTGCTTCTTTCGTTTTTTCCTGTTTCCTTTCTGTTTATTCTTTGCTTTTTTCCTTCTTTCGTCTTTTTTCTTATTTTTTTTCCTTTCCGTTTATTCTTTCCTTTTTACCTCTATCTTTCTTTAATTGCTTCCATCTTTCTTTTATTCTCATTCGCGAGAGATACATTAAATGCCATGCCATCAAAAATACATTTTCTTCATTTTCCTCAACCCTTAATAATCAATAAAACAACAAAAAAAGAGAAAAAAAACACACGCACCGACACATAAACAACAACAATACATAAAACCCAACAATCAATAAAACAAGTAAGAAAAAAAATAAACAAACGATACGTAATGAAACAAACAACAAACAAATAAAAAAAACATGAATAAATCACCCCAAAAATATTTCCTCTGCAACATGACCTCTGCCAGTAACGCATTCAGGTCAGGTCACTCGTTTGCCTTTTATCACGTGGATAATCCGTTATCTAAGGTGAAATGTGCAAGAGTAAGGAAAGGGGAAGAAGATGGAGAAGAAAGCGTGGAGGAGGAGGAGGAGGAGGGAGGAGGAGGAGGAGAAAGAGGAGGAGGAGGAGGAGGAGGATGAAGGAGGAGGAGGAGGAGGAGGATGAAGAGGAGGAGGAAGAGAGGAGAAGGAGGAGGAGGATGAAGTGTGGAGGAGGAGGAGGAGGAGAAGAGAAGGAGGAGGAGATGAAGTGTGGAGGAGAGAGAAGAGAAGGAGGAGGAGGAGAAAGAGAAGGAGAGGAGGAGGAGGAGGAGGAGGAGGAGGAGGAGGAAGAGGAGGAGGAGGAGGAGGAGGGAAGAGGAGAGAAGGAAGAAGAATATAATATAATAAATATATTTTTCCCACTCAAAAAGAAAGAAAGAAACAAGAAAAACAAACCAAGAAACAAGAAAGAAAGAAAAAAACAGATAAAAAAAAATATTTCTTCCCACTCAAAAAAAGAAACAAATGAATTAAAGAAACACACCAAGAAAAAATACCTTCTCACTCAAAGAAAGAGAAACAAACAAAACAAAAAAACAAGAAAAAGTAAGAAAGAAAGAAAAAAAAACAAGAAAAGTAGAAAGAAAAACAAGCAAACCAAGAAAAAGCAAAAAAAGACAAGACAGAAAGAAAGGAAAAAAAAACGCTCACAAATTCGCACACGTGGCACCACCCAGACAGGCAGCGGACATCGCTAAGAACGAGCAAAATCCCGCTCGATTTAAGCTTTCATTCGAGCCCCGGGAAGGTCTGTGATTAAACTCTTTGTCCGGCCACTCGGTTACATCGGCCGCCACAATAGAAGCCACATTAATATGAAACACAAAATAAAAAACAGGAAGGAGGACTGTAAAAAAAAAAAAAAAAAAAAAAAAAAAAAAAAAAAAACACTGAGATATACAGTATACGAGGGAGTGGAGAGGAGATGGAGGAGAGCAATTCTGTGGCGGAGTGCGAGAAGGGACAAAATAAAAGATGCTTTTTTTTATTTTTATTTTTTGGGGGGGGAGGGGATGGGGGTATGGACCCATTTTCATACAGTGCAAGCAACAGACGCAAATATGCACACACACATACTCATCACTCACTCTCTCTCTCTTATCTATCTCTTCTCTCTCATCTCTCTCTCTTTCTCTCTTTCTCTCCCCTCTTATCCTCCTCTCTCTCTCTTCTCTCTTCCTCTCCCTCTCTCTCTTTCTCTTCTCCTCACCTCTTCCTCTCAAATGCCAAGTCACATCTTTATCATTAAACCCAAAATGTTTCTCATCCTAGCTTCTTCCCCAATTTAAGTGCAGACTGACACCGTTCCCCTTTACTATTAAGGAGTATGCTCACAACCCCACCACCTACTACCTACTACTACCCACTCTACACTAACTAGTAGTCCCACCACCTACTACTAACACTACTACTATGTAGTCCCCACCACCTACTACTAACACTACTACTATGTAGTCCCCACCACCTACTACTAACACTACTACTAGCTATGTAGTCCCTCTCGCCAACTAAAGTCTGTTGTGTGTTTACTATCAAAGAGTGTTTTAGTAGTAATCTCTTTACTGCTAAAAACTAATGCAAATTTATACTCGATAAGAGAATTTTCCTCCGTCTTCTTCGCCTTTCTTTGATTTTTTTTAATTTGGGTTGAAATATACATTGAAAGTTATATATGTGGAGCTGAGAGATGGAGGGAGGGAGGGAGGGAGGAGGGAGGGAGGGAGGGAGGAGGGAGGAGGGAGGGAGGGAGGGGAGAGGGAGAGAGGGAGAGAGGGAGAGAGGGAGAAGAGGAGAGAGGGAGAGAGGGAGAGAGGGGAGAGAGAGAGAGAGAGAGAGAGAGAGAGAGAGAGAGAGAGAGAGAGAGGAGAGAGAGAGAGAGAGAGAGAGAGAGAGAGAGAGAGAGAGAGAGAGAGAGAAGAGAGAAAGAGAGAAAGAGAGAGAGAGCAAGAGAAAGCCAGACAAAAAAAAAAGAAAAAAGCACCAAAACACCAAACACAGCGAACACTCAAAAAAACAACCCCCAAAAAAAAAAAAAAAAAAACGAGAAACACCAACCAAGAGACGACAACCCCCCCAAAAAAAAAAAAAAAAAAAAAAAAAAAAAAAAAAAAAAAAAAAAAAGAGAACCAAGAGAAAGGCGAACCGACGACGAAAGAGCGAACGGGGAACTGCAGGAAGCGAGAGCCAGTGCCAAAAAGAGGGCCGGCCGCGCACCCAGAGGGCCTTGATGGCACTGGCACCTTCATTTGTCACCGAACCAGCTGATCCCCTTCATGAGCAAAAGGTTTTCCAACTATTAAATATTTTCTTTTCATTATTGCTGCGCCTGCTATCATCTTTATCGTTGTTTTATTGTTATCATTCGTTGAACTCTTTATTTCTATTAGTAATATATTATCAAATATTTTCTTTTCATTATTACTGCGCCTGTTATTATCGTTGTTTTATTATTATCATTCGTAAAACTCTTTATTTCTCTTAGCCACATTCTATTAAATATTTTCTTTTCATTATTGCTGCTCCTGTTATCATCTTTATCATTGTTTTATTGTTATCATTCGTTGAACTCTTTATTTCCCTTAGCCATATTCTATCAAATATTTTATTTTCATTATTGCTGCGCCTGTTATTATCGTTATTTTATTATTATCATTCGTAGAACTCTTTATTTCTCTTAGCCATATTCTATCCAATATTTTCTTTTCTCTATTGCTGTGCCTGTTATTATCCTTGTTTTATTATTATCATTCGTAAAACTCTTTATTTCTCTTAGCCATATTCTATCAAATATTTTCTTTTCATTATTGCTGCGCCTGTTATTATCGTTGTTTTATTATTATCATCCGTAGAACTATTTCTCTTAGCCATATCACCAACAGAAGATAAAATACTAACATCCTAATCACACTTATACTACTTATACTATTTATCTCCATCTTCATCATCAATATCATCACTATCCTCATCTTCATCATCTTCTTCATCCTCATTCCCAATTCTTCAACCAAAAAAAAACTTCAATTCCCCCCATCGAACCCCTACTGTACGTAAAATCCCCCACTTCAATTAAATTAATTACCCCCTCAAAAAAAAAAAAAAAAATCTAAACCAATCAACCAAAATCAATTAAGAAATAAAATAACAAAAATAAAACAAAAAATAAACCAATTCTACAATTGAAAAAATAAAACAAAAAGACACATAAAAAATAAAACACTTCTACAATGAAAAAAATAAAACAAAAACTAAACCACTTCTACAATGAAAACAAAAAAAAGACAAAAATAAAACACTTCTACACTGAAAAAAATAAAAAAATAAATAAAAACACTTCTACAATAAAAAAACAATAACAATAATAAATAAAACCAAAAAACAAAACAAAACAAAAAAACAAAGCAAAACTAACACGCACTTGTCCCGACGATCAGCCTCAAGTGCGAGCCTCAGCAGCAAGCAGAGTACACATCCCTAAACCCATCAGGTATTTCCCCAGAGACCCGCGGGTGCTAATGGATGCTCCGTCGCCGGGAGAAAGAGCACGGGCCGCGTACCTCGGTCTCGGCTCTGTCTGTGGCTCTCTGGCTCTGTCTGTGCTCTTTGGCTCTGTGGCTCTGTGTCTGTGTCTTTGGTTCTGTCTGTGGCTCTTTGGTGTCTGTCTCTCTGTTTCTGTCTGTGGCTCTTTGGTTCTGTCTGTGGCTTCTGTGGTCTCTGTCTTGGCTCTTTGGTTCTGTTTCTCTGGCTTCTGTCTTGGCTCTTTTGGTCTTCTGTCTTTGTTCTGGATCTTTTGGTTCTGTCTGTGGCTCTTTGGTTTTGTCTGTGGCTCTTGGTTTTGTCTATGGACTCTGTCTGTGGTTTGTTTTCTGTCTGTGGCTCTTTGGCTTGTCTGTGCTCTTTTGTTCTGTCTGTTGGCTCTTTGGTTCTGTCTGTGGCCTCTTTGGTTCTGTCTGTGGCTCTGTCTGTGGCTCTTTGGTTCTGTCTGTGGCTCTTTGGCTCTGTCTGTGCGCTCTTTGGGTTCTGTCTGTGCTCTTGGTCTGTCCTGTGGCTCTTTGGTTTGTCTGTGGCCTCTTTGGTTCTGTCTTGTGGCTCTTGGTTCTGTCCTGTGGCTCTTTGGTTCGTCTGTGGCTCTTTGGTTCTGTCCTGTGGCTGCTGTCTGTGGTTTTGTTTCTGTCTGTGGATGCCTTTTTTGTTCTGTCATGCTCTTCTGTTCTGTCTGTGGCTCTTTGGTTCTGTCTGTGGCTCTTTGGTTCTGTTCTATGGCTCTGTCTGTGGCTCTTTGGGTTCTGTCTGTTGGCTCTTTGGCTTCTGGGTCTGTGGCTCTTTTGGTTTCTGTCCCTGTGGCTCTTTTGGTTCTGTCTGTGGCTTCTTTTGGTTCTGTCTGTGGCTCTGTCTGTGGCTCTTTGTTCTGTCTGTGGCTCTTTGGTTCTGTCTGTGGCTCTTTGGTTCTTGTCTGTGGCTCTTTGGTTCTGTCTGTGGCTCTTTGGTTCTGTCTGTGGCTCTTTGGTTCTGTTCTGTGGCTCTTTTGTTCTGTCTGTCGGCTCTTTGGCTCTGTCTGTGGCTCTTTGTTCTGTCTTGGATCTTGTTTCTGTCTGTGGATCTTTGGTTCTGTCTGTAGCTTTGTTCTGTCTGTGGCTCTTTGGTTTCTGTCCTGTGGCTCTTTGGCTCTGTCTGTGGCTCTTTGGTGTCTGTCCTGTGGCTCTTTGGTGCGTGTCCTGTGGCTCTTGGGTTCTGTCTCGTGCTCTTTTGGTTCTGTGCTGTGGCCTCTGGCTCTGTCTGTGCGCTCCTCTCTGGTCCTGTGGTCTTTGGTTCTGTCGTCTGTCTGTGGGTCTTTGGGTTCTGTCTCTGTCTGTGGCTCTTGGCTTTGTCTCTTGTCTGTGCCTCTTTGCTTTGTTCCTCTGTCTGTGGCTCTTTGGCTTCTGTCTCTTTCCTGTGGCTCTTTGCTTCTGTCCTTTACCTCGTGGCTGTCTCTCTTCCTGTGGTTCTCTGACTTGTGCTCTGTCTGGTGGCTGTCCGTCCTTTTCCTCTCTTTTCTTTGCTACTGTCTTGTCGTGGCTGTCTCTCTCTGAGTCACCGTAGGTTCTCTGGCTCTGTTTCTGTTCTGTGGCTCTTTTGTCTGTCTTTGTCGCGTTGCTGTTTCTCTCTGTGCCACTGTTTGTGTCTGGACTGTCTCTCTCCTGTGGCTTCTTTGTCTCTGCTTTGTCCGTTAGCTGTCTCTCTCTGTGGCTCTGTGGGTTCTGTGCTGTGGGCTCCGCTTTGTGCTGTGAACCTGTCCTCTTCTCTGTGGCTCTTCTGGCCTGTCCTTTGTCTGGCTCGTCTCTTTTCCGCTGATTCTTTGTGCGTATCTCTTCCTGATTTTATGTGGATCTCTAGCTCAATCTTCTTAAGTCTTTCTGCTGTCTTCCTCTGTCTGCCTCCTGTTGCATCACTGTGTCTCTTTGGTTCTGCCTTTATTATCTCCTTCTTTCACTATGGCTCTCTGAACCCATTTTCGTCCTTGACTTTTCTTTTCTGTGTCGCAGTGGCTCTCTGGCGTTATCTCCTTCTCCGACTGTTTTTTAGGCTTTTTTTTACTCTGTCTCTTTAGCTGTCTTTCTGTGTCACTTTGGCTCTCTGTGGCTCTGTAACATTGTCTACTTTTGTGCCTTTTATTTGTATGTCTGCGAGCATATCTGTCTTGTCTTCTCTCTCTCTCTCTCTCTCTCTCTCTCTCTCTCTCTCTCTGTGTGTCTGTGTGTCTGTTGTTGTGTGTGTTGTGTGTGTGTGTGTGTGTGTGTGTGTGTGTGTGTGTGTGTGTGTGTGTGTGTACGCGTGTGTGCGTGTGCGTGTCGTGCGTGTACGTGTGTGCGTGTGCGTGTGCGTGTGCGTGCTGTGCGTGGTGTGCGTGTACGTGTGCGTGTGCGCGTGCGTGTGTGCTGTGTTACTAACAACGCCATCGGCACTGCCATCTAGAACGTTGAAAAAAAAAATCATTTTAATAACACCTAAATCTTTTATTAATTTCTTCTAAAATATAAACAACGTGCAAACTTATTCACTTCTCCCATTACTTATTCCGCCTTGTGATACATCGATATAAAAGTCAATAATGATGCCCGTATGAAGCTGTTTTTTTCTGGAATGTGGATGGAAGGAATAAATTAGATCTTTTTATATGTAAATTCAGCGTTATTGGAAGAGAAGGGAAGGGACATGATAATGATGATAATGATGATAATGATGGTTTAATAACGATGATGATGATGATGATGATGATGGGATGATGATGGTGATGGTGATGATGATGATGATGGTGATGATGATGGTGATGGTGGTGATTGGTGGATGATGAATGAGTTGATGGATGATGATGATGATGATGATGTTGACGATGATGACGAAGATGACGATTACCATGAGGACAATACATAAGAATATTGAAAAGAAGAAAACAAGACAAAAACAAAACAAAAACAATCAACCAGAAAAGACAAGAAAACAATAAAGATTCAAAAACAAAAGAAAATAGAAGGAAAGAAGAAGAAAATAAAAACAACGACCCACAGAAGAACTAGAAATGGGCGTGGGCGGCGAGGAATGCGGGGCGTACGCTTGACCGTGGGCGTAAGGAGGGAGAGATACGCCCATATATATATACCAGCAGTCAGAGGGGGTGGGGGGTGGGGTCGGGGGCGGTCACACACATCCATTTTTCATTACACCTCCTTTGGGACCTCCCCCCCTCCCCCTCCCCCTCCCCTCCCCTCTGTCTTGTGGAACGGGGGGGGGGGGGGGGGAGGGCAGAGGGTGGGGGTGGGGGGGGGGCGGAAGGACAGAGAGGGGGATAGAGAAGGGGAGAGAGGATTGGCGTGACGGAGGAAATATGAGAAAGGTAGGGGAAAGTGAGAAAAGGGAAAGATAGAAAAAGAAAAAGAGAAAGAGAATGAAAGAAAAAAAAAGAGAGAGAGAGAGAGAGAGAGAGAGAGAGAGAGAGAGAGAGAGAGAGAGAGAGAGCTAGAGATAGATACATAGATAGATAAAAAAACAGAGATAAAGAGATAGATAGATAGAGAGAAAGAGAAAGAAGAGAGATAGATAAATAAATAGATATAGATAGAGAGAGAAGAGAAACAGCGATAAAGATATAGATAGAAGAAAGAAACAGAAATATAATAAATAGATAGAGAGAGAGAGAGAGATAACAGAATAAAGATATAGCTAGATAGAGAGAGAGAAGAAAACAGCGATAAAGATATAGATAGAGAGAGAAACAGAAAGATATAAATAGATAGATAGATAGAGAGAGACAATTTCCCCCTTTTCCCTAATTTGCTTCCTCCTCTCCTATCGTTCCTCTCACTTCTAAATTAGCGAACCTCCTTCAGTCCCTATTCCTTCTCCATCATCCAATAATTGCCTTATCATATTCTTCCTCTTCATCGCCAAATTCCTTCCCCATTTCCTTCATCAATAATACCCCCTCATTTCCTTCTCCTTTCCCTCGCCCCTTCTCCTTCTCCCCCCTCCCCCCTCCCGGTTTTTCTTACCCTTTCCTCCTTCCCTCTCTCTTTGCCTCTCCTTCTCTCGTTTTCTCTATCTCCTTCTTTTCCTTACTACTCTCTTCCCTATCGCTCTCCCTCTTTTCTCTCGCCTCCCTCTTCTTCTCGTTCTCCCTCACTTCTCCTCCTCTTCTCTCTCTTTTCTCATCTTCTTCTTCTCTTCTTCTCATTCTCTTCTCTTCATTCTTCTTCTTCTTCTTCTTCTTCTTCCTCCTCTTCCTTCTTCTTCTCTTCTTCTTCTTCTTCTTCTTCTCCTCTTCCTCTTTTTTCTTCTTCTTCTCCATCTGCTTCCTCCTCCTCCTTCATGATCCTATTCCCTCTTCCATCTTCCCTAAATAACCCAGATAGAATTAACCACGTCCTTTTTCCTTCCCCACCCTCCCTCCTCTCCTCTCCTCCCTCTTCCCTCCCAACCCCCTCTCCTCTTCCCCTCCCCCTCCTTCCTCCCTCCCCTCCTTTCCTCCTCCCCCTCCTCCTCTCCCTCCCTCCTTCCTCCCCCCCCCTCCCCCTCCTCTCCTTCCTTCCTCCCTCTTCCCCCTCCTCCTTCCTCTCTCCATCCCTCCCTCCCTCTACTTCCCTCCTTCCCCCTTCCCCTCCTCTCTCTCCCTCTTCTCACCCCTCCTTCGCCTCCTCCCTCCCCCTCCTCCTTCCTCTCCACCCCCTCCCCCCACCCCGCCCTCCATCCCCTCCCCTCCCCCCTCCATCCCTCCTCCTTCCCTCCCCCTCCCCTCCCTATGCTCCCCCCACCACCCCTCCTCCACCCCCTCCCTCCCTCCTTCCCTCCTTCCCTCCTTCGCAGAGCCGCCTCGCCCTCCTCGCTCCCTCCTCACATTCCTTCTTCAGGAGTTGTCTATCAGCCTCCATCTCCCGCCGTGACATCCTATCTCCCGCGGCGCCTCTTTCGATGTCTTTGTTCTTTACCTTTTCTCCTTTTTTTTTTTTCTTATTTTCTTTACTTTGTTTTTTTTTCTTTATATTTTTTTACTCTTTTTTTTTCTTATTTTCTTACTCATATATTTTATTTATATTTTTTTACTCTTTTTTCTTTTTTTATTTACTTTACTTATTTTCTTTACTCTTTTTTTCTTTATATTTTACTATCTTTATATTTAACTCTTGTTTTTATTTTCTACTCTTTTTTATTTTTACTGTTTTTTTTACTTATTTTCTTACTAATGTTTTTCTTTATATTTTTACTTTTTTATTATTTTCTTACTATTTTTTTCTTTATATTTTTACTCTTTTTTTCTTCACATTCTTTATCAACTTTGACGATGGGGGGGGGGGGTATTTTGCCTTCTGTTGACATTTTCATGATTTTATTTTCTTGTTTTTCTCATATTGTTTCTCTGTTTTCCCCCTCCCTTTCTCTATTTCTCTCATTTTCCTTTTTCCCACTTTCTCTTTTCTCTTTTTTTCTATCCCTTATCTATCTCTTTATCTATCTCCCTTTTCGTCTATCCTCCACCTCCCAATCCTCATCTTTTTTTACACGCTAATCTTCTTTCCTGCAAGGCCTTACCTTCACCCCCCCCCCCAACCTCATCTCAGGTCACCGGGTCCGCCATGTGACCTCGCTCGCCCTGACACGTGACCCAACTCCATCGCAAAATAGGGAAAAAATCTTGTCACGTCTGCAAACATCAGCGTATTTTTCGGGGATATAGTATGTGGCAAAAAAAAAAAAAAAAAAAAAATACATAGAGGATATAACATAAAAAAATATGCATCAAAATATAAATACAAACATGCTTTATAAATTCCATATCCGTAGGCCTATAAAGGTGCTTTAATTAACCTGCCACATAAAGCTTCTACATGAAAAGGGACGCAAGGACAACAGCAAGAAATATGAGGTATGCGGTCCCGACGTATGTGGTCACGTGACCTTATCCTAACCAACATGTGACTCATATTGACTCACCACAATGCTTAACATTCCCTTCTACTTCCTGTCGACTCACCCGTTTCCTGGGACTCATCAAGACTCATTCCCTGGATTCATCTCACTCATCTCTACTCACTGGTTCTATGTGTTGCATTTTTTGTTAATTTGCAATCTATAATTCACCTCATGATCGCTATTGCAATTTTATCCTTATCGTCATTACTATTGCCATTAATGTGTTCCTATTGTTATTATCATTTATCGTTATTTCCTCTAGCGCCGTTCTTATCATGGTCTTACCAAGGAATCTTAGGTTCTAAGAATCTAATATTAAGAATTTCCTTGGTCTCTCTCTCTCTCTCTCTCTCTCTCTCTCTCTCTCTCTCTCTCTCTCTCTCTCTCTCTCTCTCTCTCTCTCTCTCTCTCTCTCTCCTCTCTCTCTCTCTCTCTCTCTCTCTCTCTCTCTCTCTCTCTCTCTCTCTCTCTCTCTCTCTCTCTCTCTCTCTCTCTCTCTCTCTCTCTCTCCTCTCTCTCTCTTCTCTCTCTCTCTCTCTTCTCTCTCTCTCTCTCTCTTCTCTCTCTCTCCTCTTCTCTCCTCTCTCATCTCTCATTCTCCTCTCTCTCCTCTCTCCTCTCTCCCTCTTCCCCTCTCCTTCTCTCTCCCCTTCTCCTCATCTTCTCCCTCATCTCCCTCATTCCCCCTCTCCTCTCTCTCTCCTCATTCTCTCCTCTCCCTCTCTCTCCCTCATTCCCCTCTCTCTCTCTCCCCCTCTCCTCTCCCTCTCTCTTCATTCTTCTCCCTCTCCCCCTCTCTCCATCTCTTATTCTCATTCTCTCCCCTGCTCTCTCCCTCTCCTCTCTTTTCCTCCTTTCCCTCCCACAGCCTTCGTCATCATTTTCTTCCTCTTCTCTTCCTACCTTTCCTCCTGACCGGGTTTAAGGAAGCGAACAGTTAGAACAGGAAGAGAAGCAAATCTCGGATTAATGGCTT